ATGAATGTGAATGGATATCTTCACAATAAAAGAGATGTAGTTGACCGGTTTCGATTGTATCTGTATTTATATGTATTTCTGATGAAGATATAATAGAAAAGGTCAAATACATAAATACATCTCTTGTATTGTGAAGATATCCATTCTCATTCATACCTTTTCTTTCTTTCTCTCTCTCTCTCTCTCTCTCTCTCCTCTTCTCTCTCCTCTCTCTCTCTCTCTCTCTCTATATATATTATATATATATATATAATATATTACACACATATATATATATAATATTATATAGATATAGATATATATATATATATATATATATATATATATATATATATATATATATATAAACATACATACATAAACAAATACATACATACATACACACATAGGACACATGCACATATATATATATTAGATAGACAGATTAGATAGATTGATAGTTAGATATAGATATATATTCAGATACAATACATATGAAAATGAAACTGGCCACAATGAAAATTGAAAATAAGCATGACGTTTCGTAATCTTCATGAGTTCTCTTCAACATCTGAAATCCATTTCAGTTTTTGTCTGAAGAGTTTGGAAAGGTCACACTTATTTTCAATTCTCATTGTGGCTAGTTTCATTTTCATGTTTGTGTACACATTATTGTGTTTGTGCTTGTGTTCATATATATATATATATATATATATATATATATATATATATATATATATATATATATATATATAATATACATATATATATATATATATATATATATATATATATATATATATATATATATGTATATGTATATGTATATGTATATGTATATGTATATGTATATGTATATGTATATGTATATGTATATGTATATGTATACGTATACGTATACGTATATGTATATGTATATGTATATGTATATGTATATGTAAATGTGTATGTATATGTATATGTATATGTATGTATATGTGTATATATATATATATATATATATATATATTATATATATATATATATATATATGTATATGTATATGTGTATGTGTATGTGTATGTGTATGTGTATGTGTATGTGTATGTGTATGTGTATGTGTATGTGTATGTGTATGTGTATGCGTATGCGTATGCGTATGCGTATGCGTATATGTATATGTATATGTATGTATCTCTCTCTCTCTCTCTCTCTCTCTCTCTCTCTCTCTCTCTCTCTCTCTCTCTATATATATATATATATATATATATATATATATATATCAGAGTGAATGAGACAGAGAGAGAATATATATAGATTCAGATGTATAGATTATGGTATAGATGTATAGATATAGATATTGATACAGCCATAAATATATGAATAAACAAACACACATGCAATTATATATACATACATCTACAAATAAGAATGAATAATGACCATCCCATCATTAAATATCAGTCACTTTTGTCAGCAATGCTCCTTACCTGTGGTGGATTATTTGAATCAGAAGACCATCGTGATGCCTGGTCATTTGGTTTGTCTTCCAGAATATTTCTGTGAAGGATAGATTTGACAATACTATAATGAAATATAAAGAAATTATACAATATTTTTGTGTGATTACATCTAGAAAAGCTAATAAAAAAGGAGAAACTACAAACCATCAAAACAAGAGTATATTTCTCATTGTAATTATAATAATAAAAATCAATCACAACTTAGAGTATATCACTACATATCTAGTATTTTTCAGTAGTAATATGCCATGGGAAACAATACATAAAATCAATAAATTCCTATGACAATACCATTGCATAAAAATATAAACATGTTTTTTCCCCCTTTGTTGGTACCACTGACAAAAAAGATGTTATTGTACCACACTTCTTCACTTATCTAGCCCTGATACTCAGTCAATCTCATTACTGCACAATAAAAGAATGCTCTAAGGCAGGGCTGTCAAACTCAAAACCCTTCACAGGCCAGTTTTCCCTTCAGCTACCATCTTGAGGGCCAACAAGTCATACTTCTGGTATTAGGTACTTGTACATAAAGTTTATTTTACTCATCAGATTTTAAATTGTGATACTGATGATAACTATGACATTATTTTCCTTCAAGGCAATCATAATTTCACAGGCCAATTATTCCTATCACCATGCTGGCCACTTACGATCATCCCAGGACACAACATGCGGACCATGAGCATAACACCCCTGGGCTATTTCATTCATTTATAAAGTACAATAATGGAGAAAAACTGTCACTATAAGTAATAATCTTAAAAGAGAAAAGGACTAGCTTAATTGATTATGCAAAATGACTGACTACAAGACTGAAAGAGCATATGTGCCATGGGCTGCTCATAAGAATGTGGCAGACCACATGCAGCCTGCTGGCTGGGTGACTGACACCCATGCTCTAAGCCTCTTATTCTGCAATTATTTTTGTTACACAATTATTACACAATTGAGAGTGTATATTTGCAAAAAATATGACATATAGAGAGGCTATAGTTATACTATTAGATCAAGTG